ATGTTTCATTAAAAAGTTCCAGTGCGAAGGATTATCGTCGAAGCATAGAATTGTATGTACTTATATCCTTGGTAGGGTTAGTGGAAATAAGGAAAACTGGTTATCCTTATTTGAGACACTGATTGCGAGTTAAAATAACTTGCGAGGTACAAATTTGTAACGTAACGACACAGCCATTCAACCTATGGGTTAAAAATCTTATTGTAAGAGGTTGCAAGAACAGATGACGGTACAGCAAAAAGTATGAAATGATTTGTCGATGATTACCTTGGCGTGGAAGACGATTCCACGGTGGAACGCCTCTTCGCTGTGCAGTGGTATCCTAGTGTCGTACTCGTCATTATGAACGAGATTGTATTGCTTCTTAGAGGGCATGCTTGGCCCAGCTTCATCCGATTATGTTCGTCCAGTCTCGCTGAAACATTAAACTTTGTGTTAGCTTTGATACTATCGTTAAACTTTATATCCCTAACCGTCTTATACCTAACACATTAAGAACATAAACAAAATAAAATACCGAATTAAAAGTACTAAACACATCATGAAGTTTCGCGCTATCGTTTAAAAACAGATATCATATTTCCTCGCCGTTCTTGGTGTCTGTAAAAACACACACGGATGCACACTAAGGGCGTATATCTGAAGGACTAATTGATTGCAAATTCTTCCAGTCGACCGAGCTCTCTGAAAATAGTACGATCCCTGCTCCTAGAGAACCCGTGGAAGGTTGAACCCGTTCGAGAAACACGTGCTGCAACTGGTACCCGCATTCAAGGTCAGCCACGATCTATACGGCCTGTAGCTGACGCACATCTGACGTGTTTCTTGATCGAGTCCGAAGGTGCACCGGCCGAACAAAAAGGCTCGCAGAGAAGCTCGGAGATAGCATCGAGGCCAAGAATAAGTACCGATTTCCTGCGCCCTCCCGATTCGACGCCTCTCATTCATGGGAACGAATTGCCAGGTGGCCCAGGAACGCGTGTAACGCTCCACGATAATGTGCAACGTAACGCAGGCACGAGAAATTCGTGGGTTTCTCAACCTTTCTTGCCTTGAGGCAGTCTTTATCATCTTTCAAATGATTCTGCAATTTGGACTAAGCTAGAACTTTCTTGTGAACGAAGTCGGAAAAAGTTGGACAAGAAAATTTTCTACTGTTTAATCCTACAGTAGATCTCGATATATCGCCGTGTCCTTGGTACACATTAGTGTTACACTCGTCACGTTGTATTACTGCGAGGCTGTCAGAGTAAATCGATTCCATGAAAACTGCCGTAATATCAGAGAATTAAACTTTTTAACCTACCTAACATACTTTTTGCCAATTCCAAGAACTTTCTACTGCTACAACCTTGTCGATGGCAATATAACGAGGGTCTACTGTGATACAGATTATAAAATTAAACTTAAATTGTCATTGATTCAACAGTCTGCCTCCGAGGGTCAACAAACTCTATCATTCGACTATATGATTTTCTCCACAAGTTTAATGAGCCTGCCTAAGAAAAGTATATATTAGAACACAATGTTAAAAACTGATACGTGCTCTTTCCATGTATTTATTTGCATATATGTTTTTAAATTACGTATTAAAATTGATACATACCAGAATACAAAGAAATAAAATACTTCCTACTTTCCTGAACGAATTTATTCCGTGAAATGAGTAAAATGACAGAGTTTTATCAGTTTCAGGTACAAAGAGAGATAAACATCGTCCAAATAGGAAGCAGTTTTATTACATCCGTTTTAACGGCGTGTTCGATGGTTATGGAATTATGGTTCGAGAGGGAAAAAAAGGTTTCTGATACTAGAACTCCGCTAGAAAGTCGCAATTCCTGGAAAAAACGATGACTAAGGTATTTCTTATGAAACAAGATATCGTAACCTTTGTAAACACGTTAATACGTAATATTAATTCGACAACTATTATTTGTAATAGTAAAGCTTGATCGCGTAGAACTATGTTTAACTGTTCATGTATTTGCTTCACTTCAAACGTCATGCAACTCTTAATTAATTTAACATGAAAATACTTACAATTTACATTGAATTCACATTCTATTTCTCAATAGCCTAACGAACGTTTAATCCTCATAAATAATTCGTAGAAAGTTACATGTTTATTGTATAAAAAACCGTTGTAACGGTTTACTAGATTCTTAACAAAGTACTGCATAACTGATTTAAAAAAGCGATACGTTAAATTACGGCACATGCACATGCGCACTTAGTCATAGAATATCCGTCGGACTAGAAAAATTATCGACGCGGTTAAAACGCGAAAATTAAAAAGAAATTGAGCAAAAATAATATAATAATATCTACAAAAAAATTTTACGGTAGTATTTGAATGCTAAAAATGATATACTAAAAAAAAACGCGGTAAACAATATCCCACGCGCATGCGCGATACACCATAAAATAACCTAAATACGTAATTGTTAAAGAGACGCGTACACGGTCACGTCGAAACGCAGAGTTCAAGCACCGCCGAAGGGTGGCATCTTTGTGCACACCTGAATTAAGGTGGCATTCACAAAGGCGTACGTGAATCGAACAAAGAACAGCATTCTTGTATCTACAATCGGCGTCCACCTATGGTGACAATAAGTATAGAACGGTAAACGCGGGTCGCATATTCATCGTACGAGTGTCTGATCTGTTTGTAATGCGACATTCATCGTAAATACGATCTGAGGAGGAAACGCTCTATCTCTTGTGTTAATCTGTTCCTTCTGCCAACTGTCGGATTAGATTTTCAAAGCGTTGAAAAACCGCGTTCGAAATGAAATTCTAATAAATAAAAAATATTGAGTTTGTAACAAATGAAATAAAATATAAGTGGTCTTATATTCGTAAATAATTTTTAAAATTTATTTTTGACACCCTTCGTAAATTTGCTAATCGAATAGCTCGGGTGTTTATAAATGTTGCTCGTCAGCAACATCGAAGAGACCCATCGGAAACTGAGTTAAAGTGAAGGACCTCGTTTAACCACCCCACGTGTGTTATTGAACGTGTTTTACGGCCTGTGAGCATGTATCCCGCTACTTTCGCACGAGTCGTTAATTTCAGTGAAAAATTCATCGGTTTCGTGATTTATAACGATCCGTTTCGCTTCTTTAAAGGAGCGTCACCGAAACAAATACAACGCAAAGAAAACGACAGGAAGAAGGAATCGTGCCAGAATGAAAAATACTTGTAAGTGAATCCAGGGGTTTTGTTACCAGACCCGAGAATACAGAAACTTTGTGCGAAGAATAAATTATTCAGCGGGAAACGATTGAACAGTTAGGGAGAAGTTTGTCTAATAAAAGGTGCACGAAGGAAATAAAAGAACCAGTATCGATGAATAATCGATTGTGTTCTTCAAAACTATTCCCGTCAACGATACGCTATCGCGTCACGAGTGTAAACAAAAATAAAAGAGAAAAATGAAAAAGTTGGATAAAAACCTGAATGTATATCAAAATAGAATTATATCGTTGTGTAATCGCATTCGCTCAAGTAACATTATCGAATAAAGCAACAAAGTTAGGTTCCGATTTAATATCTGACGAAATATTCGAGATCTCGTGACCTCGATCGATAAATTTCTCGATGATTTAATTCGGTGCGATGCAACTTGATACGATTTGACAAGATACAATTCAATTCAGCGCGGTTTAATTTGACGCGTTCAAATTCGCTGTGATTCAATTCCATGCTAACATTCGAACGCTGGATTTAAATTCTACCAACGTTCGCTCGCACTCAGGTGTTTGGTATGATCGAACATTCAGCTCGATGGTAATTTACGCTAAACGAGCACGAGCTCTCGCTTTTGTTCAAAGTTCTAACTCGCTTAGTTCAAACATGACCTTACCTGCTAGCCGATTGGACGATCGAAACGGGATAGTCTTCATTAACCGGTTCGATTCGTGTTCCTGGCAAGAACGACCGAGACACGGTCCTTGCCCGAAAATCGGCTTCCTTTGTGAATGCAGCTTAACGATGGAAGGCAGGCCAGTCAGCCAGGAGAAATATGCACGCATTCAGGTCCCGCCGTTCGTGAAGGACCAACACTGACGCCCCATGGCGCGCTTATACACTAACACAGAAACCGTCGACCTCTCTCTTCTTGGAAACAGATGACAGTGACTCGGTCACCGTAACCCACGAGACGTCCCACGGGAGCACCTTAAAGTCTCGATCTTATTCCACGCAACGCGACCACCACTTGATCACTGTACGTGTACGTGCCACCGGCCCCATTGGTTTCTCTTCTCTTCGCTTTCTTCTTCTTCTTCTTTATTTTCGTCTTTGATCCACCGCGTGTCTGTTCTTCCTACGGCGAACCACGAGAATTCGTTGATTTCGTTACGATACAAAGCAAGGTGATCGCGTGTTAACTCGACCGATTCAGAGAAAGGAAACGACGCACAGATTCACAATGTAAGCACGCGCGAGATAACGAGGAAGGGATGCGGCCACTAGCATTCGAATCGCACCATTACTTTCCTTACCGCCTTTTAATAATGTCCTCGGGATAATCGCGATACCTCGGTCACACCATGTCCCTCTCACCGTTCCTCTGATCTTTCTCTTGTTCTATACTTTCGAGGACTTCGCGTTACCGAGTGACGCTCATATTGTCCTTTGGTTCTACGTCCGTTTTATCCTATCGCGAAGAAGGAGCGCGTGTTTCATAGAAACACCGTGCACGCCGTACACGACCGTGGTATGTATGGTTCTCCGAGGAACGTGCGAATCACCCCCACCGTGGACGCGACCGGCATCATACTGAAAACCGGCTGGGTCGGTACATGTTTCCTGGGGGAGGAGCGGGAGTTCTTTACGATACTAACACCATCTGTCAAACACTTCCGGAAGCTTATCGTTGCATCTGTCGGTATAGCGGAAATTCATTTCTGGCGGGTTAATGATGCAGATTTGAATTGGAGCAATGAAAGCAGATTGTATCATAACATTTCCAATCTAGGTCATGAATAGTTTGTGCCTTTCTCGATAAAAATGCTACGTGCAAGTTGAAATCGTGTTATTCAGCGCATACTTGTCGAAGAAAGTGGATAAGTGGAGTTTGAGAAATGAATACCGTTACTTGTATCGCACCCATCAATATTGCTGTTATAAAATATTGTACGTATTTATTTTTGTTATTTTTTTATTGGAACTGCATAATCGTCATAATTATTATACCGTTTTATATGTTTATTAAAATAACGTATATAAGAAATTTATTCGTTCACATTACATACATTGCAATAAAATATATGTTAAATTACTAAATTATACTCTTATTCACTTTTTAAAAAAATATTTTATCAAATAAACGAGATAATATAAATAAAGATTATAATTCTTGTTTCCTATTCGAATGCCCGCCATTTTTAGAATTCCGAAAGAAAATTTGAAATTGATACAAAATTTTCTTTACTATTGCACAGTATATCATTTTTGTTAAATTCGGTTGCAACATACAGTTTTACATTCATATAAAAAGACACATTTAAAAGTATTATAAGCTTCTTTTGAAACTGACCTTTTACAGAAATTTGAATTTAAATAGATCTTTTCAAGTGTTGAGTGTAGAATAAATTGTTTAGATGAAGCAGCACAGGTCAATAAACCTTCTTTTTTTATTTGCAGGGGGCAAAAGAGATGATAAACTTATTTTACCATTGAATGATTCCATCAGTGCTACTTTAGATACAGAGCAGGTAAATATACATAACACATTGTATAAATATCATAAACTTATTCCTGCATATATTAACTTTTAGTTATGTGCAAAAACTACTGTTATGATCAGTCCAAATTTCAAGAACGATTGCATATGGTTAAATGGAAAGTAAGTTTGAAAGATATATGTACATATTTTAAAAATGAAATATAATTTAACATAATTTTATAATTTTCCAGGGAAGAAGATATCAAGAATCCTAGGCTACAGAATTGTTTAACAGAAAGTATATAAATCTATGAAAATGTACTGAATGTTTGGAATTTACAAAAGTAATAAAGTGTGTTGTTTTAGTTAGAAAACGAGCAGGGCATTCCAAACATTTGAATCAATGGAAAATTCACATTTGCTCGGAAAATAACTTTCCAACTGCAGCTGGTTTGGCTTCTAGTGCAGCAGGATATGCGTGTCTTGTAACAGCTCTTGCAAAATTATATGAAGTAGAGGTATCATGAAGAAGATATATAGTCTTATGTTATCCAGTGTATGAAATTATTACAATTTTTGTATGTTTAAGTATTGTTTTCTAGGGTGACATTAGCATGATAGCCCGTCTTGGCTCTGGATCAGCATGCCGTAGTACAACAGGAGGTTTTGTAAGGTGGTACATGGGTTCTGAACCAAATGGAACTGATAGTATAGTAAAACAAATTGTTCCTGCTAATCATTGGCCAGAAATGAGAATTTTAATATTAGTTGTATGTATTATCTGCAATTATTATTTTGTACTGATATTGGTTTATTAAACATATTTATAGTTGCATTGTTTTGTATAGGTAAATGACTGTAGGAAAAAAGTTTCTAGTGCAATTGGAATGAAAAGGACTATGGAAACGTCTGAGCTTCTAAAACATAGAGTGAAACATGTTGTTCCTGAAAGAGCAAATAGAATACAACAAGCAATTATAGAAAAAGACTTCAAAACATTTGCTGAACTAACAATGAAAGAATCTAATCAATTGCATGCAGTAAATTTAGATACATATCCACCAAATATTTATATGAATGATATTTCACATGCAATTGTTGAACTTGTTCATTTGTATAATGAAGCTGTTCACGATGTGAAGGTGAATAGTAACAAAGTATTTTATTGATTGAATCTTAAGCTTTACAATTTAAAATAATACTATTATTCTTAGGTCGCGTATACTTTTGATGCAGGACCAAATGCAACTTTGTATCTTTTAAAAACTGATGTACCAAAATTTATGGGTGTATTAGATTATTACTTTCCACCATTAGAAGATGTTTTAGTAGAATATAAGAAAGGATTATCTATTGATGCTGTTAAACCTTCTGAAGTAAATTTTTATATTTATATAAGTATCATTTATATAATAAAACTAAACATTTTTGTTTTCAGGACTTGTTAAATAAGATTAATATACGAAAACATAATTTAGGATGTTTCAAATATATTATTCATACACGAATAGGAGATGGTCCTAAGTATCTTCAAGATTCTAAAGATCATCTTTTAAATAACCAAGGATGGCCTGTCAATCGTATTTAAGTACAATGTTTGAAGTATTTGTAAATGATATTTTCTAAGATTTGTTAGATAATAAAAGATGAAGAATCATCCGTCTCTATTATCTAATTATATAATATTTTCTTTATTTAGTGATCTCAATATGCCTTGATATCAAACAGATAATGCTAATTTTATGTGCATTACAGAAACATTTATTCATTCTGAATGTCATGTAGTCTATAGTTTTAAAAATCCGTTACGTCTCCGTTGCTTTCGTAATTCATGGTTAGCAGTAGGAATTTCTTAGCATAATAAATATAAATAGGTTACGTCGAACATAACGTGTATGACGTTTCCAAAGTGCAGGAAGTATCTGCAATATAAAGAAGTACTAATTGTTGTTTATACAGTGTATGAAAAACTTTTGTTGGACAAAACATATACGTATATAATTTTGAATAAAAATAAAAGAATATAAACGAAACTATGTCTAAAACAAGTCTTATAAAAGCAATTGTTGAGAACATTGTTAAAAGTAATAAGTATGGGCAGTGTTTAAAAAAGGTAAATATTTATATGTGTTATAATACCTTTTCTTTATACATATTTTATGTTGAATAGTAATTAATATATTGAGGATCAATATATTGTACTGAATATTGTTCATAACAAAACAGGATGAACATGTTTTATTGATTCTTATTTTCTGTTTTTTTCCATATAGCTTGAAATCATTTCAGCAGGAAATGGAAAATGTAAAGCAGAATTGGTTGTCTCCGAAGAACACTTGAACCATGGTGGTACTATGCATGGTGGTTTTACCAGTACTCTTGTTGACTGTGTGTCCACGTACGCTGTAATGACTGAAGGGACAGGTGCACCAGGTGTTTCAGTTGATTTACATGTCACGTACGAATACTTTTTAATATACCTTCCTTATATGTAGTTACAGCTAATTGAAATATATTATAATAACAATATTTAGGTTCATGAAACCAGCACTTCCTGGTGAGAAAATAACAATTGACGCAACCACTGTACGAGCTGGCAAGACATTAGCTTTTCTTGCAGTAGATATTACAAAAAATGATGGGAAAGATATAGTTGCTCAAGGGAGACAAACAAAATTCTTTATACAAGGAAAGTAATGTATATATTGTTTTGTATAGCAAATTTTAGGTAACAAAGGAATTAAACATTTGATAATTTAACATTGTCAAATGGCTGTGAAGTACTTATGTTGTTATTGATATGAATACAGTTTTTCATTGAACATATTATGGTGTACATTTTTTCTACAAGTTTTTAAAGAATTTTAAGGATGCTACATATACATATACTATTACAAGTATACATTATAAATACTTATAATGCTTAATGGCACGTCATAAAAAATGTCCTGTTTTTTGATACATAGTAATCTATACCAAAGTTGGATCTATTAAGTAATACATATATTTATATAATAATTGTCTTAAAAAAAAAAGCATCTCATTGTTTATGCTGGACATAAACCTCATTTAAAAGTCACATTTTTACATTATCAATAATTAATAGATACAAGTAAAATGATATGTATCTTGTACTGTTAACAAGGCAAAATGTCACAAAAGATAACAAAGTATTCATTATCTTCAAAACATTAAATTCAAATAGTCCATTATACATTCGTTTTAATAAAGTCGATTACATAAATAATTTGATATATGTAAATGTTAAAATGTCCCTATACTATGCTACAAAAGCGAAGCGTAATATTTGCAGTAAAAGAATGTTCAAAATAAAAAATAAAAATATTAAAAACGAAAACGAGTTGCCCCATTTTAAACATCATTGAACATATTACACGACCGACAATTTTTTATCACGAACAAGATAATTTGAGGCAAAGATTACATCGATTTTAAGTATATTCTTGCAACACGAGTAAAATGGGGCAGTATATACTTTCCTTGGCAGGGTGTCTAAGATATCGCATATAAGACTAGAGATAATAACAGACACCTAAGTACAGTAACCGCTCGTTAAATGCTAACGTTCATTTATCGAACGCTCGTTTAGCAAACGATTACCGTAAGTCGAGCTCGAAAGAAGGCAACAAAGAATCTTTCCACTCGATCGTACTTTGTCAATCCGTGGTGTATGTACAATTAATAAAAGTGCAAATTTAACGAACCCTGAAAGAATCTAACAGAGGACATCCAAGCTCTGGCATTTACATCTTTCTCAAGATATGCCGATGTTTCAAAATAAAACAAATCCATAATATCTCTTACGAGTAAAGAAGGATTGTCTAGGATGTGTCTGAACGATTTTATTACTGTGATTTTTTAATATCCTCTAAAAGATCCTTCAACTCTTCTATTCTATAAGACAAAGATTCTGCGAGGTCCTTTACGTTCCTACACTGTTGCTCCGTCTCCTTAATCGTTCTTTCCAGATGCTCTATCATCTCCCTTGGACCTAGCCCCTCCACATCCTTGGCGACAAAATTATTCTGCGCCAGCGAGTACTTGGCTGCGCTGCGTCTGAACCGCGAAATGGTGTTACTCTGATCCTCGCAGCCATCGCAGCAGTCGGACCAGACCCTCAGATCCACATACGGTATCTCGTCGCAGGTAACGAACTTGTTGTCACCCTCCGGCAGTACAAACACGTTAGGTTGTATTCGATCGATCTGGTCCCCGTTGTCGCAGAGGATCCTAGCCAAGCTCGTCTGCTTGATCTGAGCAAGCTGGTCCGGTTTGAAGACAGTGGGACTCTCGTACCAGAACCTGTCGCCGTTTCTAGTACGCCTGAATTGCTCCAGCAGAAGACACTTAAACAGAGGACCCACTTTAGCGTTCGGTAGCTGATCCTCCAGAACTCCACCGACCCAGACATCTATATTCCCAGGATGACCGTACAGTTCCCTCAACTTTTGCCTAACTCTGGCGCTGCGTATTTCGCCGGCCAAGTCCTCGAAGGTCTCCACGTGCGTCATGTTACAGAATCGCCTCCATTCCAGGTATCCTGGCAGAGCGTGATCTCTGCCACGCTGGATGTTCATCGCCGCAAGATCAAGAGCCACCGCGTGCGCGGAGTAGAACAACTGCTCGGTCAGTTCCGTGTTGAGATTCTCTTCGGGTAATTTCAATTTAGCCGCCGTCGCGAACATCCCTCTCATCAGAGGATCAACGCCACCCTCTTCGACCAACCTCCACGGCGCGAAGAACGCGTCTCGCAGTTTAAGGGGACCTTGAGGTATCGACTGGAAGGAAGAATTAAGACGTTGAAGTCGAGGTTGTATCAACGTATGACCGAACCTGAGAGCAGCAGTGGCGAAGACGTTGGAAATGCTCGCGTCCAAATTAGGATCGTATCCTCGATACGGACCCAGAAGTTCCTCCGCAGTACCGTCGAACACGTGGGGTATCCACTGCTGATACGTGATGTGCTGCATCTCGGCTCCGACGATCTTCCTAGCCTCCTGGTACAGCTTCTCCCCGTTCCAATGGGGGTTCATCTCGCGTAGACTGCGGGCGATGCGGTTGTGCTCTCGCAACCATATCGTGTGCATCGCTAGGAGACCGATCTGCTCGTTCGCTCGAATATCACCGGCTACGAAGCAGTTGATGGAGCTCTCGAGAGGGTTTCTTCGGCAATCGACGAACTGACCGGAGGCGTAGGGGAGCAGCGGTTTATGGCCGGGAAAGGTTGGTCCTTCTCTTAGCAAACCGTGGTCCGTGGTGAGGTCTCGCAGGTCCCTGGCTAAGGCATCGTCGTAGCCGTACACTTGAGAAGCGTCCATGTAGCTGGTGAGTTGGTTCAATTGTTCGCGAGGGGTGAAGCTGCCCCACAACACGCTGGTTGCGCCCGAACCGCAGACCGCGCTGGTCCTGATGAAGTCAATGCACCTTCTGTTGTTCACCCTAGGATCACCCGGTGGAACGTCCATGGGGAAACAAGGCGCAGCGTTGTCGCAGGACTTCTTGCAATCGATGCCGTCCCAAGACTCGCTGGAGACCGACGGCAGAGCGTGGTCCAAATCGTGGTCCAGAAATTGACCCCACTGCATCACCATGTGCGTGATCCTTTCGTCGGAAGTCACGTTGTGAGTGGCCACCAAGGTAGTGGAGATCAGCCGCGCGGCAGGCTTCGGGTATCCATAGTAACTACGTCCTTTCTCCCATCCAACCGGTGATGAAAATCCGTTCTCGTAAATTGGTTGCAGCACCCTGCGGAAGCCGGTGTACGAGGAACCCCAGGTGGGGTGGCGCAGATTGTTGCAGCTGCCGTCTATGCTGCGGTATTTGGTGTGATAGCACATGTTCGTGCAGTTCTGACGGTGCCTGTGGCCCGTGCATCCTGACAGTCTCTCGATTTCTCTGACCTACGATGAGGATGCGACGTTACGACATTTATGGAAGATTTAATAGACAGATAAAGCTAATGGATTAACCTCTTGCACTATGACTTATTTGTCAGGTGCGTCAGTCAGAACTGCCCAATTGAGCTGTAATATTGAAATAGATAAAAAATTGAAATGTTATTTCGATATGTTATTATTCAATTGTTGACTATGCAAATTATAATTGGACTCCAAATTGAAGCGTATTCAAAATTTGAGTAAAATTGATCACGGCCGAGGCACGAGTCAGACTCGTCAAAATAGTGCAAGGGGTTAAGTTTACATCTTGTTTTGCTTATTAATACTAGCTATAGAAACCCACCTGTTCCGCGGTCAGAACTTCTTCGTATCTAAATTCGTTCGTAGCATTCGCGCTGATACCAGAATTTATCATACGTCGAATATTAACTAAAGTTCGTTCGAAAACTTCCGCAGGTCTGGCCGCGGCGCGACCAACGGCGTCCGGAAAACGCGCGAGTCTGAATGGACTCACTCGCGCGGACCCGTCACCGCTGAAGAGGCTTATCAAGGTGTTATTTATGGCGCGATCAATTTCCTCCGTGGCGTCCTTGAATGCTCTTATCACCAGAACATCTGTCGCCTCAGGCTGGCGAACGCGTACCAATGCTTGAGCAGTTGCGCGCCCATATTGGTTCACGGCTGAGCATTCGTATCTGTGAACAAACATAATTGCTAATTATTATCGCTTAACTGGGTATCCAAAAATATTTCAATTCAGCTCGTTGTCTCGTAAACAGTTAATCTTAAGACAAATAGAGAAGTATATACTTTGCAGTTAACAATCCTTGATTGTGCAAATTAGCGTGAGTCATGATGTGTGACTTGATATTGCAAAAACAGATAAAAGGTTCAGGGACATCGGTGCAACGTTTCTTGGGCGTAATGGATGTCTTAATGCAGCGATGGATAATACGAGAATGTAGAGCGATTTTAGAGAGAACTTAGGACATGGAATAAGTCAATGTTGCGTTCAAATTCGCCCACGAGAACTTGGACTACCTATGATGGATTACCGAATCTCTCGAGCAATCAATTCCTATCCCAGACAGCTAATTAATTCACCTGCCAGTGTCCGTAGAGGTAACATTATAAAGGTATAAGCTACCCTTGCGGGATATTCGTACTCTGTCCCCTTCCACGGCTGTTCCATCCTTCTTCCATGAGCTGTAATATTGAAATAGATAAAAAATTGAAATGTTATTTCGATATGTTATTATTCAATTGTTGACTATGCAAATTATAATTGGACTCCAAATTGAAGCGTATTCAAAATTTGAGTAAAATTGATCACGGCCGAGGCACGAGTCAGACTCGTCAAAATAGTGCAAGGGGTTAAGTTTACATCTTGTTTTGCTTATTAATACTAGCTATAGAAACCCACCTGTTCCGCGGTCAGAACTTCTTCGTATCTAAATTCGTTCGTAGCATTCGCGCTGATACCAGAATTTATCATACGTCGAATATTAACTAAAGTTCGTTCGAAAACTTCCGCAGGTCTGGCCGCGGCGCGACCAACGGCGTCCGGAAAACGCGCGAGTCTGAATGGACTCACTCGCGCGGACCCGTCACCGCTGAAGAGGCTTATCAAGGTGTTATTTATGGCGCGATCAATTTCCTCCGTGGCGTCCTTGAATGCTCTTATCACCAGAACATCTGTCGCCTCAGGCTGGCGAACGCGTACCAATGCTTGAGCAGTTGCGCGCCCATATTGGTTCACGGCTGAGCATTCGTATCTGTGAACAAACATAATTGCTAATTATTATCGCTTAACTGGGTATCCAAAAATATTTCAATTCAGCTCGTTGTCTCGTAAACAGTTAATCTTAAGACAAATAGAGAAGTATATACTTTGCAGTTAACAATCCTTGATTGTGCAAATTAGCGTGAGTCATGATGTGTGACTTGATATTGCAAAAACAGATAAAAGGTTCAGGGACATCGGTGCAACGTTTCTTGGGCGTAATGGATGTCTTAATGCAGCGATGGATAATACGAGAATGTAGAGCGATTTTAGAGAGAACTTAGGACATGGAATAAGTCAATGTTGCGTTCAAATTCGCCCACGAGAACTTGGACTACCTATGATGGATTACCGAATCTCTCGAGCAATCAATTCCTATCCCAGACAGCTAATTAATTCACCTGCCAGTGTCCGTAGAGGTAACATTATAAAGGTATAAGCTACCCTTGCGGGATATTCGTACTCTGTCCCCTTCCACGGCTGTTCCATCCTTCTTCCATTGTATTACAGGTTTCGGAACACCTTCAACCCTGCAGGGCACCTCAATTATGGTTCCAGGTTCCGCCTCCATGTCATGAGGCTCGTACGTCATCCTAGGAGGACTGTAAGAGGTATCGACTACCCTCAAGTCCGCGCTGGTTTCGGCGTATCCGTTAGAGTTTCTCGCTTGACAAACGTATCTCGCCGAGTCGGACTCCTTCGCGGCAACGATTCGTAACACGTTGCCGTCATCCTCGATGAAGATTCGACCACCCACGTTCAACAACTGACCGTTTCGCCACCATTGGACACGAGGCGTGGGTTGTCCCTCGACTCTGCATTCGAAGGAGACGTCCGAACCGACTTGAACGGTTTGAGATTCCGGTAATTGGGTGAATCTCAGGGACGGAGACACCGTGATCAACGCCCGGGCCTTCCTGGACTTCGTAGAGCCCATCTCGCTTTTAGCCACGCACTCGTACTCCCCGTTGTCTTGCTCCGTCGCGTCAGATATTATCAGCGTTCCGTCTTTCTGGATCACGTAGCGGTTTCCGTCGGGGGATACCTCGTTCGAGTCCCGCATCCATTTGATCTCCGGTGCTGGGTCGCCTATCACCTCGCAAGTGAAGCTTATGGTACCGCCCAATCTGACTTCTACGTCCTGCGGACCATTCATTATGCGTGGCTTACCTGGAAAGTAAAGATTCGGTGAAACTTTCTGTGATAGCTATCTATGTACATTATTTTGTCTTTGATGAGTACAGCTTGTCATAGGGAAACTGTAAGGTTCTTATACTACTGGGAATCTTTTATAGTCAAATTCCCTAAACCCTAAATCTTTACTTTTCAAATTTAAAAATTCTCTGATTCTAAATCTCTAAATTTTCAAACTTCCCTCCCAAAGTCCCTCACAAAGTTGTCCCTGTCCATCGTCGTTACCAAAGTAAAAAATCCGTGTCCCCTAATTAATTTCTGTCACGACAAGACAAGCTCCCTTCACTAATATTAAGAGCGATGCGTCCTCCGAGAGTGATAAAGGACCCGTCCCTACCGTTTTCAGGAATTACTCAACTGCAATGGAAATCGTCAGGGGACATGGTCGTCAGCGAGCGTCCCTTCATCTCGTCGGGTGCCTGGCAAATGGCCGCCATCTCCGAGGATTTGCTTTGAAGCCTGTGCACAAGCCAGACCAGGTTGCAGTCACAAACGAGGGCATTGCTGTCGAGGCGAAGCCGTGTCATGGGTCCCACGTTATGAAACGCGTCGGCGGGAACGTGATGCAGCATGTTGCTGTGCAGGAACAATCTCTCCAACGACGGTAAATCATTGAATGTTCCTTTCTTGATCTCCCGCAGTTGGTTGTAGTGTAAATACAGTTGTTCTAATTTCGGCAGGCCGGAGAACGCACCCGGGGAGATACGTTCGATGCGGTTTTTGTAGAGGTAGAGGATCCTCAGCTTCGGCGCACCCTCGAAGATCCTTGCAGGCAGATGTCTCAGACGATTATCGTTAAGCAACAGAGTGTGCAACTCTGGGAGACCGTAGAAGGAACCGGGACGGAGCTCTGCTATGTTGTTGAACCGCAGATCTCTGGAACATTTTATTACTTTTTAATTTTTATTGAAGTAACTGATTTAAGTAACTTAGTGCTGTAGAACTAACCCTGTCTACATTGCTGTACATGAATGAGATAGATAAAGGCAAGTTATAGAACTTGCTCTACATTTCTTTTTAATTAATGAAAGCATAAGTTGCATTCAATACAATATGTAATCTATATTGTGGAACATTTTATTACTTTTTAGTTTGAGTGAAATAACTGATGTGATTTAAGTAACTTGGAGGTGTAGGACCAACATAATCCCTTCTACATTCCTGTACATGAATAAGGTAGATAAAGGCAAGTTATAGAACTTGCTCTACATTTCTTTTTAATTAATGAAAGCATAAGTTGCATTCAATACAATATGTAATCTATATTGTGGAACATTTTATTACTTTTTAGTTTGAGTGAAATAACTGATGTGATTTAAGTAACTTGGAGGTGTAGGACCAACATAATCCCTTCTACATTCCTGTACATGAATAAGGTAGATAAAGGCAAGTTATAGAACTTGCTCTACATTTCTTTTTAATTAATGAAAGCATAAGTTGCATTCAATATAATATGTAATCTATATTGT